CTGGAAGTTAAGCAAAAGTGGCAGATTTGTAACTCTGAGAGACATAGATGAATTGTGTCATAGGCAGGGGTCTAGCTCTGGTGAACTGTGGGCTTAGCAGGATTGAGCCCAGCATTCAATCCCCAGCCTCCAAATGAATTAAAAATAAGTAAATAAGGAAGAACTTTCACTTTATTATATTCACAGTGACATCTACATATTTTAGAAGGAGGAAATATTTGGTTAAAATTGATATATTCCATAAAAGATAACTAATTTCCTTTAAAAGGAAGATTAAGTAAGGTCTAGCAGATATAATAAGAAACAAACAAACATAAAATGTTAGAGTGCAACAAAACAAAGATTGCTTTTGTTGTTTGTTTTTTCTTTTGTTTTTTATTGTGAGGTTTGAAAACTGCACTGTACTGAAATTAGAATTCATTTTGGATGTAATGGCTTTGGCACAAATTTGGCTGAGGGGTCAGACAGCTTTTTTTTTTTATTGTTGTTGTTTTGTTTTTTGTTTTTTTTTGTTTCTGAGATAGGGTCTCCCTGTGTAGCCAATGCTGGCCTTGAACTCATAATTCTCCTGTTTCAGTTACAACAGGACTGAAATTTATAGACATGCCACAACAGGCCCAGGATTAGAATCTTACTGGGGTTGAATCAATCCTACTGAAGGACGAACTGCTGGAGGTCCAGGAGACACTTCTCCTCCCCAGCAAATGCCCATCTGCTTCTGAAAGGCATCTCTACCCTCAGGCAATACACAAAGAAAAAAAGCTATAAAACCCAATCCCCTCCCTGACCCACAGGATCACCTGTTTCCGGGTCCCCCTGCATTCCGCACTATGCAGTCTTTCTCTTCTATTCTCTACAAATAAAATCTTTCCAACCTTTGCTATTGGAGTCTGTCTGTGCTTTCATTCTCAGAACAGGTTCAAGAACCCTGAACACTTGAAATTCCTACATGTGTCATCTGTGCTTAACTACAGATCAAATTTTTGGAATGTGATAAAACTTCTTCTTTAGATGCTTTCTGTTCAATTGTTTATTTTATGGATAAATCCATCTCAGAAGAAGGTTATGAAAGTTTTTCACATTTTATGATAACAAATGATAACAATTTCTTATTTTTTGCAAATGTATAGTATTGCTTATTTAAAAAAAGAATAAAAGTGAGCTATTTGCTAATGGTCGTATCACCAATTCTTTTATGACACATGGAATTACATAGCCCTAGTTGCAATGGATCTTTCCTTACAATGGAACTTCGTTATGATTCATTATCCTTAATAACAAAAGAGAAGTTCTTCTAGTATCTTCAACCTACCACTTGCAGAGTCACATTTATTCATTTATCAATAGTACCAAGAACACATTTCTATACTACAAGTTGTATTGAGTTGCGTTATTCTGGATCCAATTTTTCCTCCTGTCATTAAGTCAAGTTTGATAGATAAGGTTAGTTGATCTGCTCACAAATGAATGCACTGTACAATGAAATGCATGGCACAATGATATTATAACTCATACTTTCATCATAAGAAAATTTATGTGCCTTTTTCTTTTGGTAGTATTAGGGTTTGAATACAGGGCCTCACCCTTGCTAGGCAGTGTCTACCATGTAAGCTATTCCTTCAGCCTTTTTTTGTGTGTGTGTTGGGTATTTTCAAGACAGGGCTCATGAACTATTTGCCTGGGCTGGCTTCAAACCGTGATCCTCCTGATCTCTTCTTCCTGAATAGCAAGAATTTCAGGCATGAGCCACTGGATCCCAGCATATGCATGTTTTTGATGAACTTATTTAATGGTGTTTCTTATGGGGGGAAATGCAAGGATTAATGAAACACTAGTCTGAAGCAGTATTCTTCAATTTTTTTTTGTTGACAGGCTTTGTAAAATAATTTTGAAAGAACTTTACTCATGTCAATTGACAGCTCAGTTTTAAAGCATGTAATTTTTGGCACATTTTAAATGTTGACACTTTAAACTATAACTATTATAGATCATTCTTTTAATGTTCCCATTGAAGTTTAAATATGTGAACAGTTCGGTGCCCAACATTTTCATTAAAAATAAATGAATGTGATCTTCTGAATGGTGAGAAGCTATACTTCATTTCTTTCTCTTCACAAAATCAAACTTTGTTTCACTATCCGCCCTTATCCATAGAACTTTCTTCTGTTGAAATATATTTTAAAATTGCAAAGATTTCTTTCTTCTTTTTTTTTCTTTACTTCTTTTTAGACAGTGTCTCATTATATAGCCCAAGCTGGCCTCCAACTCACGATCCTCTTACTTCTGCTTCTGAGAGCTGAAAATCTTGTTAATATGGGAAGGAAAAACTAATGAAAAGCACTGAAACAATTGTCCTCTTTTGTGGGGAAACTATATCTGAATTTCAGTTTAAACCAGACTAAGACTTAAATGTGAAAATGAACATAGTAATCTAAATTTATCAGAAAGTTAATATATTTACTATCTTGGAGTCAGAAAGAACTTTCAGTAGATTACTAAACTTCAGTGACAAGTAGAAATAGATCCCTCTCTGGTCAAAATTCATTTTAGCCAGTGACATTTCTCATTTTTTTTCTCTCTTTCCCATCTCTCAAGTTTCAGAGTCTGCTAAATGATTAGGTAATAAAACTGCAAGAATACTTGAAGTTAGAGCATCTGAACTATGAGAAACCACATTGTTTTTTAGGAAGAACTTCAGATGACATTTTTATTTCTAGCTCAATTCCTCAGATTAGAACAGTTGTAGTCAGAGTTTCTAGACTCAGAGCTAGAATGGACCAGAGAGATATTACAGTATAGTCTGTGCATTTCACAGACTTAGAAATAAAGAGTTTAAGAGGAGTTAGCGGATAGCCTTACACGATAGTGGTAAATGAACTAAGAATAGGAGTGCCCCTTCCCCAATCTCAGTTATGTGCAGCTTTTATTAGGTTAAACCTGAGCCTCTTGTGATTCAAACTACCATGATGGCAAAGTGGCCTTGCTTCTCTGTTACATTGATCTCCCTTGGGATGATCTTCCAAATGTCATTTTTGCTAGAATTTAAATTCACTTATGCTTTAAACTGTACTTGCCAGAAGTAAAATAAAAAGCATTGCAAAGTCAGTAATTAACTTCTCACAAAAAAGTCTTATCAATGCTCCAGAAGTCCTGTGAGATGAAGCTAATAAAGAGAAAGCAGTTTAAATTGGGACCATTCATTTTGTAATTCACTTTCACTTCATCTCTGCCAAACTATCAAACATATGTTACAACTTATACATTGGAAATATACTCTAAAAATATCATATCATTCTCTTACTATCCACATGAAGAGATGACTGGTACACACAGTAGGAGGTCAAAACCAGCTCTTTCCTATATATCATCAGTAAGCAAAAATGAGGCCTAATAAGAATTTATTTGGCACCACATTACATAAAAAAGTTTAGGAGGAAAAATTCAGCTGTCAGATATAAGTAGACATTTTGAGTGTTCAAACCTTGCTCTGAGGAACAGTGAGTCATGTGAAATGTAAAGTGTGAAGGAAGCTGACACATAAAAGGATAGAACAACAACGATGAGTTCCCAAAGACAAGCTGTGGGACAAAGAACAATTATACAGGGTCTATTTTTGGATCCAGCAGAATGACTTGGGAATTTAAAAAATCATAGTTTAAGTACAGAAGAAGGAATTATGTCATGAGGCTTTGAATTTAAGTTAAGATGATTTAGTAAACTTTATTTTCATTAATGCTGCCATAGTGGATTAGGATTCATTATTGAATTGTTAAATGCTTTTCACTCTTAAAATAAAAGTTAGGGTAGGAGATATAATATCGTTGGGAAGGAGGCTCTGAAGTGTAATAATAACTGCACAATTAATATCTTATTTACATGGCACTATAAGCCAAGTAGAAACAAGAAGAAACATCTGTCTGCAACAGTAGTCTTTTTGGAAGCATCATTGCCCGTGAAGCCTGCAGTTCTTTGCCAGGACTGAAATTGAAACTGCTTTGCCAGGGAGTTCTAAAAATATTATCTAGAATAGTTAAAAAATTTTAAAACAACTCACTCCCATTTTCTTGTTGCCTTACTTATAAATAAAGTATCCTTTTATGTTTCAGTTATGAGAAAGTTTCACCCCTATTTATATATGTACATCAATGTTTATTAATATACATGAGAAAAACAAAGCACTCTACAGAGAAAAGGCATTAAATTGACATCAACAACCTAACCCTGTTGTAATACTAAACATAACTTTTTTCTCTTTTTATAAATAGTTATACTGATAATAAGTGATATATATATAATAAATATAAATATACATGATATTCATGGCTTATATTATTAAATTACTGGTATTACTAAATCTGGTAGGATGCATTCAAATTAATTTAACACTCCTGATCATCTGGACAAAGAAATAAGAACATGAGGGTAATTTGACTCCCCAAGGGCCCAAGAAAATGATCTTGAAAGTTTTACAAGTGCCAGGCATGGTTGCTCATGCCGTCTCCCGGCTACTTAGGAAGCTGAGATCAGGAGGATTGTAGTTCCAGGGGCACAAAAGTTCATGAGACCCTGTCTCAACAGAAAAATCTGGGCATGGTGGTGCACCTGTCATCCCAACTATGGCAGGAAGCATAAACAGGAAAATTGTGCTCTAGGCCAACTCAGGCACAACACAAGATCCTAGGCTTCCAAAATAACCAGAGCAAAAAGGGTTGTAGGTATGGCTCAGGCAGTAGAGCACATGCCTAGCAGGTGTGAAGCTATGGGTTTGAGCCCCAGAGCTGCCACAAAAAAGAAAATTTGACAGAAATTCATAATTCCATCTTTATTAGTATTTTGTTGGATTGCCTTTCAAGAGTTTCTTTCAGTTAGAAGTTAGCTATAAATCATCTTTGAAACCTTTCTTATTACTGTTAATGTGTTCTTAATATCCCTGACTTTATTGGACTCCAACATGCTATTTTCATTAGGTCATGAGCATTCTTTTGTAATGTATATAATACCTGAAAGTAGGGCCGTCCAAAGTTTTGACAGGTGGCAGCACAAGTGGTTGGTGTAACATCGTAGGGCCCTGGATGATGAGAGAACATTCTTGTGAATTTGGCAATATTAATGGATAGAGGGATTTTATAGAATTTAACTTAAAAGTATCTAACAGTGTGTCTTCCTGTTAAGTCATAAAAATATTTTTTAATCTTAGAATTGGTTTTATTTTATGTACAAATAATGGACAGATGTCCTATTCATGAATTCTGTTTACCAGATAAACTAGGAGCTTTTTAAAAAAGCAAACCACACAATAAATTTTAAAGGGCACTAAGATTCTTCTGCTTCTAGACCATTGCTAGGCTAAAGCAAGAAAAACAACAACAAAATCGTGCTGTACTAGGGATTACAAGTTAGAACTGGGTATTCTCTAAAGCAGAAAAAAGCATGGTGCCATTTCAGGTAGATTATTCACCTTTTCTCCCCAACATCGACAGCTACCTATCAGAACAGTTAAATGAGGTCAAAACAGCCCAACACGATTAAGCTTCATTGTATGAGGCTGTTGTGCTCCTCTAAGAAACTGATAAATCAAAACAAAATACTGAAACCGAAATAAATGATTATTCAGGTTGTTGTGAAAATTTAGTTCCTTGTTGTATCCCATCTCCATAAAAATATCTCTGAACTTTTAGGTAAGGTCATAAGCATATATATTTTAAATGCTGCATTTGAACGGAAAGTTAGGAGGAGATAGATCAGACACATTTAGGTTTACCATTAAGCTATCATGGAAGAAGCCAAAAACATTGTTTTTGGCTGTTATGTCTTCAAAATGTTGACTGTCAGGGGTACAAATTTGAAGGCAGATCTTCCTATTGTTCACAATCACAGCATCAGGAAGAGATGAAGTATATATGCATGGCTCTAGTCTGTGACCTGGGGATGCAGCAGTCCCTGCCTTCCTAGATCTTATATTATTAGGAGAAAACACATAATAAACAATAAATATATAAAGATCCAGTGATAATAAGTGCCACGAAGCAAAATAAAGCAGCCTAACAGAGTGTGGGTAGAAGAGTATGACCATCATGGAAAATGTCTCTGAAGTTGTATCAGCAGAACAGGGACCTGAGGTGAGGGAATATGTCAAGATTTCTCAGGAGAAAGGTTGTCCCTGAATGGATGATATGGTCAGTGGCTCTCAGGCAGGAATGACTTGACTCATTCAAAGTGTGGACAGAGGGCTAGCAGAATGGCTCAAGCAGTAAGAGCACTTTGTCTAGCAAGCATGAAGCCCTGAATTCAAACCCCAGTGTTAACAAAACAAAATATTGCTGGCCATCTGTGGCTCATGCCTGTAATCCTAGCTACTTGGGAGGGAAAGATTAAGAGGATTATGGTTTGAAGCCAGCCCTGACAAATAGTTTGCTACAAAAATACCTGACACAAAAAAGGCCTGGAGGAGTCACTCAAGTGACACCTATCTGGCAAGAGTGACCCTGAGTTCAAACCCCAGTACTACCACTACCAAAAAAAAAAATGTGTCTAGGGGATAAAATGGTCAGTGTAGCATGAATCAGGGCAAAGGGTGGTCAAAGACCATCAAAGAGGGAGCCAGAGGCCCTCTGGTGTCATAAATATGCTTTAACTTTCCTTACACTAGGGAATAGCAACAAGGTAAATTGACCTATTGGTAAAGACTGAATGTATAGAAATGCGGTTTGCACACATCTTTCTAGGCTCAAACTGATATCGAAAGCAAGACACAGCTATAATATCCTTTGCTTTGTATTTGTAAGTATTTGATCTTACGGAACTTCAAACTGTCAAATTTATGTTTTGTGAATTACTTATTTCAATTAGCTCACACTCACTGTGATGTGGGAAGCTTTTTCTTTAACTTGTTGTTATGCCTAATAATAATCTAATTTATTGTCAAGGACTTTTATAAAGCCAATAAGAATGTTTACATGAACTCTAAAAAGTATTAAGAAAAATCTTTTGTGAAACAAAAATCATTTTAATTACCTTGTGAAATTATTTTATAAATTTTCACATCTTCACACATTTTGATAATTTGCTACACATCATTATCATTATAAACTAACAAACCAGTCATATTAAAGGAATGTGTATTGTTATTTAGATATGAATTTATAAAATCTCTTTTGGAAAAAAAAATACTCTTGTCAGTCCCAGGCTTTATTGGCATCCATATGGAATTCAGCAGGTTCAAAGTTGAAGTTTATTTTCAGTATTTCCCCAACTTGCTAGAAAATGCCACTAGAAATAGAAATGGCCTAGGGACATTCTTGTTTTTTTTCTGTGCATGGTCTTAGAAATTTCATTTTTCATCTAAGCCAAAACTGCTATGAAAGAATCTTCCCACCCTTTTGGTTCTGGGAAATGTATATAATCACTTCTGGCTATCAGCAATATATGTTGAGGAGTTAAATTTGATAATAAATATGCTGCATATATTAACAGAATTACACTGTTTGTATCAGCTTATACTCTCTACCACCTTTTATGAAAAATATTGATCTACCTAGTGTCAAACTATGTCATAAAGTAGATTAATATTCAATACAAGGAAAGACTGTAAAAACCCACTGGAATTGATAAAGGTACCTGGGTGAAATTTGAAAAAAAAAGCTAATTTTGTTCAAATAACACTACGCCTTAAGTGACCAGACAGTAAAATCAAAATCAATCAAATCCTGAGAATATAGAAAATAAACACAACAAATAATAATAGTATATATAAATCATATATACATCTTCTTCTGTAGTGTTGTCGTAGTGAACCAAAATAATTAAACTAAAAAAAGTGCCTAAGCATATGTATTAAGAGGCAATCAAAACCTTGAAGAAATGTCTTCATTAAATTCACCTGGTTGGCAAAGATGAGGGATTATGCAAAAGGTACAAAATCCAGGACTTTCTATAAGGTTTTCATATGTAAGAAACATTTTTACAACAGTAGGAAAAGAGACACAATCACATTCAGGAAATTTGTAAGCTCCATAAGTTATTTTAAACATTTAACAGATTAAAAAAGAGATATATGTGTACCTACATGCATGTGTGTACGGGCACGCACACACACATCCCTAAACGGAATTATTCATTTTCTTCCTCTTTTAATTTTCCAAAAGGGATTCCGAGTAAAGGGAAACAAGGGTTTATCCACTTGTACTCATGATGAGAAATGCTATTTATATTCCCAGATTTCAAAACAATGAAACATTCTATCCTTTAAAAATTTTTAAAAATAATTCTGTATGTAAACATGATTGGTGTCAAGTTAGAAAACCAGGTAAAGATCATGTCTCCAATGTTAATATTGATTTGTGTTGTGTCCTATAAATATGCTACCTACAAAAGCATCTAATTTAATTTCTTACAACATCCTAACAAAATGCACATGAATATTTCCATTATAAAGATGAATAAACTGAGACTCAGATAGGTAATTTCACTTGTTCTCACTTAGTAGCAAGTTAGCAAGTTAGCATTATCAGGATTTTCTTTTATTTTTTAAAATGTTTTATTAGGACATATTTTTATTCAAGGGGGATCATAGTGACAATTCCAATTAGGCTTATATTGTACATTGGTTAGATAACTCCTATTCGCTCTCCCCCTCAACCCCCTCCACACTCCACTTAAAGCAATTGCAAGAGGTTTCCTTATTCTATTTCATTTACGTATATGAAGTCCGGCAACCATATACCTTCACCTTAATCTCCTTTATTCACCCTTCCCCCTTCAACTTGTACACCCTCATATACATTATTTCTTTTCTACGGACCACTTAATCAAAATCAAAGAGATAGCCCATCTCTTAAATAATTATAATTCAAAATGGCTTACTCATAATTCTACAAGTCCCTGTTGCCCAATTAGAAACAAATGTTTCAGAGGAAAATTTTTATTCATTTTATATGTAAATTAAATATGATTCATAAATCAGGGAAATGCAAATTAAAACCACAATGAGATACTATGTTACACCCACCAGTCTGGTAAAAATTAGAAAGTTTGACAATAATTTACAGTATTGGAAAGACTGTGATGCAATGAAAACCTCATGAACTGTTGGTGAGAATGGATTGCTGGGATCCTGAAATCCATCTTATAAATACATTGCTTAAATAAATTCTGACACATGCATCTTACCAGGTGATGTGTAGAAAAACATGTTCATGACTTCCTTGTTTCTAATAGCCAAATGGTGGAAATGACATAAATGTCCCTCAGCCAGAAAAAGAATAAGTGCATTCTAATAGATTCATACAATGGAATACTCCAATAGTAGAAGGAGAAAACCACAACTACAGACTTTAACAATGATGTATCTCAAAAACCAAAATGTTGCACGAAAGAAGCAAGTCTCGAACTACTTTTGTGATGATTCTACTTTTGTAAAAGCAAAATTAAAAACAGTAAAATTAAATAATACATTGCTTAGAAACACATGCATATATGGTAAAGCTATAAGGTAAAGCAAGGGAATAAATAGCACAAGTTTAGGGTGATGGCTTACTTCCAAGGTTGCATGTGTGAGTCCATTGGAAAAAATATGATGGACAAGCTAGGTTCTAGGCAAAAAATATGTTTACTTAAACAGTATCTTTATGTTATACATAGATTTTAAAAATTAGAATGAATTGTATAGAATAGCATACTGAGTATAATTCTCTATTTTAGAATCATGTATTTTGAATCTATGAATCAAAATATATGAAAATATTATGTATTGGAGATAGGTCAGGGGATTGGGTTGGGAGATGGGGCTGCCTTAATATAGTACAAATCCTATTTGAAGTTTGTTTTCCTTTGTCATAATATTATGTTAGAACACTATATTTCACTATGAATAATTTATATACTTACAATTTTACAAATATAATTTATGTGTGTAAATTCTACTTTGTTTCAGGTTACTTTCCTAGTTATATGGGTGGAAATTTAGATTATCAATGGATGACAAACATTGAGTTGATATATGCATATGTGTATTTGCCTGTATGTGTTTGTGTATATGTGTGTGTATATGTACTCTGAGTCTAGTGAAAG